TCCGGTTTTCAACATATGTTAAGTCCACAGATGTGCTATATGTAAGCAAATACACACATTGCAAAAAACTGAGTGAATTTCACTTAATTCTTTGGCACTAGAACATTACAAATTAGTAAACCCTGGTTGCCCCTATTCTTTCCCTTGCACAACTAAGATTTTAAGAAGCATCGAGGAGGTGCCAGGCTTTCAGGCTGAGCCAGGCGACGAGATTCTGTGTGTAGTGATGCCCGCCTCCCCCGTCCCTGTAAACAAAATTAAACACATACCAGACGGACGGAATTGTACTATTTAATATTTGCCGGGTAGTCTGTGGTCAGTGTGCTTCCCTGATTGGAGGAGAAAGACCCAGATGACGGGAGAAGTCGAACGACAGAACACATTCGATGCACACGCGTCCTCACCGCATTACCCAGAGGCAGCGGCTGAGAGCTGGGAAGGGGTCAGCGCCGCAGCCAGACAGCGCGACGAGGAGACCGGGCGGCGGGCAGCTGCGGCACCCGGGCTAAAGAGGCCAGTCTCCAGTCTCCGCAAACCCGCACGCAGGTCCCACCCCCAGGCCTGACGTAAACAAGCTCCGCAGCCCCTGAGGCTGACGAAAATCCCGGACACAGCAACAGCCCTCCAACCCGTGACCCCAGCGACCCCAGCCCTCGTCGCTCTCACCCGGAAGCCCCGCAGACCCGACAATCCCCCCCCCCCTCACCGGGGCTACGGCCGCCCGCTCGCCACTCCGACGGTCACGGAAGTAGTCCTGACCTCCGTACGGAGGCGGGATCGCCTTCGCGGAGTGCTTCCGGGTCAGGCATCCGCTGCGGCGGAAGGAGCTGACTCCGGTGAGGTGAGTGTATACCCTGCTCAGGTAGCGTCCTGAGAGATGGGGATGCTTGGGACTGGGCGCGAAGGGTTCGGGGATGCCCGCCGTGAAGGCCTGGGGTGGGGGTGGGGGTTCCGCCATGAAGTATTTACGGACTCCTAGAGAGGGCCAGCGACACCTCCGGGGACACCGGGAAACCCGTAAAGACCCTGCTAAGGGGATAGGGAAGGGAGCCCACAAACAAGTCAAAACATAGCCATCTGAGATGGTAGCTAAGTGCGTTTTCGAAGTTTAAATGAGGTGACAGAGTGGAACTGAGTGAGGAAGTGAAAAGGAGGAAGCCTTCTGCGGATCTAGAGAAGAAGTAGAGCTTTGCCAGGAGAGAGAGCAGCAAAGGGCTACAACGCGGAGGGAGGGATACGAGAACAGAGATCTGGGCACTGAGTCCTTGTCGGGTCAGTGACAAGGAGTTCGACTTTTAATTTGGAACTCGGTGGGAAGTAATTAAAGGTTTCTAAGCAGGGGGGTGACGTCCTTTTGACTCATAATTTCAGGGTTGCTCTGCTTCATTTGCCCCTGAGCTGTCGCCGACAGACTAAGGAAGCTAAGATTCGCTTTCAAGTGTCCAGATCTGGTGTGGCGTATAGCTCTGTGGTAGTGCGTTTGCTTGTCATGTGCCTGGATTTGATCTCTAGCATCTAAAAACAAACAAACAACAACAAAGGATCCAGGTTTCCTCCTTCTAGTCAATCCCTTATATCAGTGTCCAGTTGTAATTACCACTTCCTGAAACCCTTCAACTATTTTTCTTTACTTTCGATGATAAGTCTTTAAATTTTGGTACACTGATGTTACCTGGGATCTTACATCTTACTAAATGCCTATTCCTTTAGAGTAGAATTGCAAGTTAAGGCTAGCCTTGGCCACATGGTGAATTCTAGGCTAGCCAGAGCTAAATAACTACATCTTGTCTCAAACAAAAGTGTCTGGTCAACAAATAAATTAAAAGTATAAAATGGATTGTTATAGGAGGCCGCTTGTTAGTTCCCGGCTGCTCAGCCCTGAAATAATCACACAGAAACCATATTATTTGCAATACTGTTTGGCCCAACATCTTAAATGTATTTCTGGCTAAACTAGCCCATCTCCATTAATCAGTGTATTCCCATGTGACTGTGGCTCACTGGCAAGATTCCTACCAGTGGGGGACTGTATTACTTCTCATGACTCCGCCTTCTTTCTCCCAGCATTCAGTTTAGTTTCCCCCACCCCAGCTAAGTTCTGCCTTGCTATAGGCCAAAGCAATTTCTTTATTAACCAATGGTATTCACAGCACACAGAGGGGATCCCACATCAGTGGCTTTCTTTTGGTTTTCTTTTGTGAAGGAAAATGTACAGAAGAGGCATGTGTCCTGGTCAGCTAGTAACTGTTTTATCTTTTACATATTGTCATTAATAGAGCAACAATTGTAATTTTTTTTGGTCTTGGGAATCCATTGCACTTAAACTTAACAAGATTTTCAAAAGGTTTTGTTTATATAGGTTACAACTACCAGTAGTTTTCATTTAAGAAATCAAAGTCACTCTCAAAAACAATAACTTATTTTAAAATAGTAAGCTCATTAAACGATAACTGACATTTCTATAAAGAAATTTCTATAAAGTTGGAAATGCTGGCACGTGTCTGTAATCCCAACACTTGGAATGGAAATACAGGCAAGAGGAGGAATTCAAGTTTATTTTGGGGTGCAATTTGAGATCAGTCTGGACTACCAGACACCTTTTCTCAAAAACAACAAAATTACAGTTTCTCTAATTCTTGACTTCCTAGAATACAGCTAGGGTCTGGTTTCCCCTGTGTTCTCTTGAATATCATCATTGTGTAGCCTTTAGAAAAATTCTGTCACGTGTGAGCAGGGACATGAAACTGTGTCAGGGACACCCAAGGACTCCCTGCTGAATTACAGTATTGTCATGACAATTAACAGAACCCTAAGCTTGATTTGTAAATCAAGTACAGCTATAATGCGCATCTGAGAGAGACCAGAATTCTACTTCTTTAACAAGCACCACAGGTTAATTTGGTATTTTCTCAAAGTTGAGTTTGCAAAGCCATTTATAGATCAAATCCTCTGGAGTGCCACTCCTAAAGAAAATAAGCCAACAACAAAAGGCTGTTTCCTTCTCTTCAGATATCTTTATAAACAGTTTTCAGAGCCTGAGAACAGGAAACTAGTTAGAAGTTTTTGAATGGACACCTTTGCTCCTCCCAGATTGATGCTCATCTGAACTCCATGTGTTGCACCCTTCCCCAGAAAGTGGCCTCTGTCAAAGGCTGAGGTTGTTCAGACTGGCATGCTTAACGTCATGGGCATCTGAACAGAGAAACAACTGAAGGGAAACTGCTGAGTCTTGCTGACGCTTAATTTTCAGGGTGCTAGAGACCTGATCAAGCAAAGAAACCCCGAATAACAAGGTCAGGGGAGAGTTTGGGTAAGAAGGTTTCCTGTGTAACAGGAGATGAGATTGCAGGTAGAGTCTTCATGGGAAAATGTCTCTGGGGAAGGAAAATGATAAGCAAAAAGCAACTAAAACCAGAACATTAAGTTGAAAATTAGAGACAATGGAGAGTAGGAGACACATAATTGAAGTTTACAGACTGGAAACATTGTACGATTTTAGGTAAAGAGAGGGATTCCATTATTATGATGGAATAAGCCTCCAGATCTGGAAACTAAGAGTCCTAGAGCACATCTGAGCAAGTGATAGAGGTACAGCTAACGATCGTACCAAATTATAAGCATGTACCAAATTCAAGCAGTTTGTGCATGTGTGCACTGCCGCCTACATACTCAACTTCTGGAGAGTTACAGCTGCTAGCTGGAGTTTTAAGCTTATCTATTGGGTAGTGAAAGTCCGCTAATAGAGTTTATCTTTCTTTAAAAGGCAGTATTTGGATAGATCACAAGGAATTAAATTGACTTGAGTGTGGTATCCAGTGTTAGGAATATTCTTTAAAAACGAGCTTCTCCACCGATGCAAATAATCCCAATCAGACCAAATCAAACCAAATTAAAAGATATCCAGATTTAATTGGACACCTGTGCTCTCAGGTGGCCCAAGGGGACAACAGAAAGCCAAGAGGAAGAGGGAAGACCACATGTTTATTCTGAGCGGGGGGGGGGGGGGGGGGGAGGAGCAGTTTAAATAGCCTGTGGGAGTGGTCTTGGCCTTTCCTGAGGAGGGGTCAGGGTTTGATGGGCTCAGGGAAAGGGGCTTCCAAAGATGGAGGCCAGAGGCTGGGATTACACCCAGATGGGCTAAAAGGACTGTGATCTGGGTAGTTACAGTTGACCTAGCTGGAAAATATCTTAAAAGTATGCTAATAACAACAGCATGTATTTATAATGTACCCACATTCATGCTTCCAGACAGTCCAAGATGATTACTGCTAATAACCTCATTCAATAGGTATGAAAACAAAAGACATTTCCAGCCTGGGCTTCACCCAGAGCAAGGACTGAGTGAGTACTTGTAACTCCAGAACCCATTCTTCTTCTAGCCTCTAAACTACATAATCCTATAATTTTGCATTACAAAACTGTAAGGGTTGTGTGGATACCCTCTAAGCTGTATGTATGTTGGACAAGTATGTCTGGCGTTACCAGGAGAGGGTTTATCTACTGAGTTAAAGATCGGTGAGGTCTTGCTCGGTTTCAGACGACAGAGTGAAGAAAATGGGATGGAGAGGTCCTGGATCTAAGCTGGTTCACAGATATCCTGCCATCCACTCACAGTCACTGTTTGGCAGAAAGGATAAGAGTCAGCATGATGCTGGGACTTAAACAAAGCTCCAAAAAGGATGAACACAGAAGTTTTTCATTGTGCCAGAAAACATGCTGACGTTTGAGTTGAGATTGCCCATATGTCTGAAAGTAGTGCTGTGGGCTTCAGGATACAACTGGAAATACAGACTAGAAACGTTTAAGTAAATGGCCCACAAAACGACCTCTTCAAATAAAATAACTTTAAAAATGTGTGTATGTATATATATATATAGATATAGATATAGATATATAGATTTAGTTAGTGTGCATATATGTATGTATGTGTGTGAATGTATATGTGTGTGTGTATATATGTATATATATACACATACACACACATATTAATATATAGCAGGTGGTGTGTGTTCCATGATGCATGTTTGAAGGTCAGAGGACAACTTTGCAGAGTCAGTTCTCCTGTTCCACCTTTATGTGGGTCCCGGGGTGGAACTCAGGTCTTTAGGCTTGCACGATGGGTGTCTATACCCACCAGGCCATCTCTTTGGCCCCAGAACTAACTTTGTACTCTCACAGATCCCCATGGCAACACTGACGGGAAGCAGCACAACTGTGTTTGCTCTTTGCCGTGGATGGAGTCCATGCAAGCTGCTCTCCATGTGCTTTCCTCCTTGCCAGCTCAGAATGCCACTTTGTCAACTGTGTGGCAGTCCGTAGGGGCGCCTCCACTTTGCACATGTGACTGAAGGCAGAGCAGAGCGGATGCGCTGTAAATACAGCACGGAGCGGTTAATTCTGGAGAGTAAGACATTAGTATCCTGCTGTAATTGGAGTGGAAAACATTGCCATCTGGGCACCAGTGCTCTCCCCCTTGACTGATCCCAGAATGATTTCTGCAAACGGCAGCTTCCTCAGCCAACTTAATACTGAGCCCCCAGAACGGAAGTCAGCCACATTGCTTCCTTGTTTGCTTCTGTTGAAAATCAGAGCCGAAGGGAAATATTTCTTTGCTCAAAGTTGGCAGGAACAGCAGCCAAACAGTCTGCCATGGCAGTGAAGGCTCACTTCCTGACTTTTAAAATAATACTCAATATTCAGAATGATTTTCTAGGGTAAAATAATCTACATTTCTGCTTATTCATGATCCTAACGTGTCAGCTGCTACACTGAGAATAACAGGCATGGTGTTGGAAGTGCCAAATTTAAAAGTGGGTCACACTCGTGAAATTCATGAACCCTCTGCTCTCTTGCTTTCGCAGCACAGTTGCACTCCCTTCAGCTCTGCTCATGGTATCGCGTGTGTGGGGGGGGTTAGCCGTTCCTAACCCCCCCCCCCAGCTTCTCAACTAGTGTACGGGATAGAGTCCGACTCACCTGAGCTGCACTCGAAGCATTGGCTGCTTCACTCTATGTGAGATTGGTTCCCAGTTTAACTGATGTAAAATCAAGCTGTGAGTTGAGCGGCGACAGTTGCTAACCTCCATCATCACTGCTGAGGAAAAGGAATGGTCACTGGATGAGGTTCTGGTTGCAGGTAGCAGAAACCACCAAAGCTAGCTTAAGGTGTCATATGAAGAATAAGTCATGAGTGTCCGAACCCTCACCCCTCTGCTCTCATCTTGGACTTCTGCCACTGTTGTCTCCAACTGCTCAACATCCCCACCTGCAGGTGGGTTCTGTTTCTTGATGGCTGACATCGGAAGGCCTTAGGATGCCTGTGGCTGGTCTGAAGTGACTGGTGCTGACTGGACACCCGAGACTGTTGTTGTATCCAGTTTTCTCCTGGCATGAAGTCAGGTTCAGGCTGCTGTGCTCCCTTTGGCATAGGACCAACTTGAGGGTGACTGTAGTTCCTCTAAAGCCTGTGTTGAAGGGGTTTGTGAACCTCCAGCCCACGCAAATGGCTGTGTCAGTATAAAGCAAAGACTACGGGTGTGGGCCACAGGGCACTTTGCTTAAAACATCCCTAGGTGCAATGGTTCTCAAATTTCCTAATGCTTTGACCCTTTAATGTTGTTTTACTCTTTTCACTTTTGGAGGGACCCACCTCAGCTTCCAAATAAATCACACACGGAGGCTTATTCTTAGTTGTAAGTGTCTGGCCTTAGCTTGGCTTGTTTCTTGCCAACTTTTCTTAAATTAACCTCTCTACCTTCTGCCTCTAGACTTTTACCTTTCTCTTCCTTATATCTTACTTTCCACTCTTACTCTGTGGCTGGCTGGGTAGCTGGCCCCTAGTGTCCTTCTCCTTCCTCATTTCTCCTTCTATTCTCTCTGCCTGCCATCCCCGCCTGTCTCGCTATTGGCCATTCAGCTCTTTATTAGACCATCAGGTGTTTTAGACAGGCAAAGAATCACAGCTTCACAGAGTTAAACAAACGCAGCACAAACACACCTTAACATTCCCCAACATTTTAATGAAGTTCCTCATGTTCTGGGTGACCCGCGATCATAAAATTGTTTTTTGTTGCGACATTATAACTAGTTTTACTAATATTATAAATTATACTCTGTCTGATATGTAGGATATCTTGATATGCAACCCCTATGAAAGGAGTGTTCAGCCCCCAAAGGGGCAGAGACCCACAAATTGACAACTGCTGCTGTAGTGTAAAGAGAATAATTGAGCCAGGTAGTGGTGGCGCACGCCTTTAATCCCAACATTCAGGAGGCAGAGACAGGCGGATCTCTGTGAATTCGAGGCCAGCCTGTTTTACAGAGTGAGTTCCAGGAAAGCCAGGGCTGTTACACAGAGAAACCATGTCTCAAAGTGGGTGGGGGGGGGATAATTGGAGATAGATGATAACAAGGGTTACCTGGTGACCACAGCTGTGCTCCTGCTAGTTTTACAAGACTTAATCTTCCTTCTCCTACCTAACCATCCCCCCCATTTACTTCCTTGTTTGCTAGGTTAGCCTTAATGATTTGTGGTTTTAATTTTGAATAAAATCAAATAAAGATGTTTATTGCTTTAAGGGAATAAAAAGAAAAGTCATTGGTACCAGGCAGTTCTGTAAGAGCCAAAGCAACATGTATGAGTCTCTTTCTCCACCTCCTCCTCTTCCACCTTCTCATGGCTCTCTCTTCTCTTCTTCCCTCTTGTCCTGCCCTCAGCTTTCCATTGTAGGTAGGTAGACTGACCCAAACTGTCTCAACCCCTGGATGCCTGCTCCCCTCAAATAACCCCAAATGTCTCCACCCTAAATCCCAAGAACAAAGGTTTCCTTTAGCTTACTTAACTAAAGGGTTGACTATATGGGGCCACATTATACAGGCCCATATTTTTACATTGTGTGGCGGCCAGAATTTTAGGCCAGAGTTTGTACCTACCATACAGAAGGTGGTCACCTAGCCTTTGGGGACAAACTAAACAAAGGGTCAGGATATGCTAATGCTGTTTTGCTCCTTTGTAATTTGGGAGGTCGCCTAGGAAAGGGGTGTTAATTTAGTCTACGTGACAGAGCAGGCGTACAGAGCAGTCATAGATAGGAAGACGTGACAATATGGGCATAGAAGGGTGTGGAAGTAACCACGGTCATTTTTTTCAGCTTGTGGTTTTTCAGGATGTAAACTCAGGATTTCATAAGGGATCCCTAAAAACTCCCTCCCAATAAAGTCATATGAGTTGTATCTTTATCCCCACAACTCCACATTTGTCTGAGAAATAATTTAGGCCTGGGCTGGCCCTGGACCACAACAGTTTGTAGCGCGACGGGCCGACTTGTTGGGGTACCTGCCCCACCTGGTACCCCACAGCCGGCAAGCCCCAAGGAAAAATCACACATAGGACTCCATAAGATTATAAAACTGATTGGCCCATTAGGTCAGGCTACTTATTAGTTCTTATAATTTATGTTACCCCATTATCCTTATCTATGTTAGCACACGGCTCAGTACCTTTCTCAGCTGGGCAGCTTACATCTTTCCTCTCTGGTGGTCTGGGCAGAACTGCGGAGGGAGCTTCCTGTTTTCCCAGAATATTCCCAGTCTCTTTGCTCCACCCCTACTTCCTGTCTGGCTTTCCCGCCTATATTGCCTGCCTGGCCAATCAGCGTTTTATTAAAATATGATTGACAGAATACAGACAATTCTCCCACACCAACAGTTGACCCAAGCAAACAAAAGCAGGACTTGAAAGGACCCACAGGATAAGTGAATCGTAAAGAAGCTACCTGCCCCAAATGCAGGGCACAGGTAATGTGACATATAGTGCCCCCTTTTGACTCATGTTATTGCAAGATACTGGTTTGTGGTGAGACTATAAGAAAAGCGATGTTTTGAATAGAAAGTTGACGTTTAAACCATGGCTCCCCACCCCAGATTATTCTGAAGTTGTGTGGTAGTCTGAGTAAAAGTGCTTAATGGTGTAGCTGTCAGGTGGTGTGCGTGTAAGCACATCTAAAGAACCATCAGCAGTAATAGCTAGAGTGCACTTAGTGAGTGTTGTTGCCAGACTCTGTTTTACATCATTACTCTCGTTGCCACTCTCCTGTAAGAATAGGTACTATTGTTTTCCCTGCTTTAAAGATGAGAGGACAAGACACAGACTTTAAGTCCTTTGTAAAAACTAAAGGGCTGGTTAGAATCCAGGCCTGAATGCCTATCCAAGAAATTGGACTCAAGCCTGCACTTTGCGCCTCTGCCACCCTGGCTTTATCAGATTGCAGGCATTCAGTTGCACCAGTGCAGAGGAAGCCAGAGCCAGGATGGAATGTGACAGCTCAGCTCTGTGGAAGGAAGTTTTCCAACAGTCTGGAGCACCATTATCAGGGTTGTCAGAAAGGAGAGGAGCTGTTGGTGCTTCCTGATGTCAGTCCAGGGACCCTTGCCTCAGAATTTTCCAGGATGCCAATATAAGCCCAAATAAGATCTGTATTTTTAACAGCTCCCTGGATGATAAAACTACTTAGATGGGTTTGAATTCCTGAATTTGGTGATTTTTTTTTAACTTCCACATTTTTTCTCTAGTACTAGGTAAAGAAGAAGTTGCAAATCCCTTTGACAAATGCCTGTACACTTGAGAATAAAAGCAACAATGCAGTGTTGTTCACTCTAGAGGTACTGCTACCTGGTGCAAGCCTCAGAGATGAACATCACCATGTTTATAGGGAAAACAATCTCCAAACCAAGAAGCTCCTCACAGCTCCAGTCTGTACCTCTTCTGCTTCACCCCTGTCCTGCACCACCTTCCTCTCTGCCTTCACCAACACTGAGTTTCAGCTTGGGGACCCCCTTCTTATCTAGCCACATTCCTGCTGAGGACATACATTGTGCTCCCCAAGGGGGAAATGCAAGAGGACGCAAAATGTGGAGCTACACTCACTGCCTCCCAAGAGAGTAAACAGTGCAGTAGATCTGAGGGATGGGCAGATCAGAAACAACTGCTCAGATAGAAGGCCAGGACACAAGCAGAGAGCAGAGAGGTTACTGGTCAAGGGGTGTACAGGAGAGAGCCACAAGCTGTAATGACAAGTATATCTCATGACCAAACTCAGGAGGCAGAGAATGCTGGATCCTGACTCGAGGGAAAGAGACTGGGTTGGGTTCTTGGTTCTGACATGAAATCATAGACTCAGGGATTACAATGACGAGGGTAAATATAGGAGATACTTGTTCAGCAACAAGAATTGAAGAGGTCAAAGACTAGAGTCATCACGTGGCTCACTTGTGGAGTGGGCAGCGAGTGCAGGATCAAGGCAGCGAGAAAAGAACACAGCCTGGAACTGACCTTCCTCTGACACAGCACTGGGCCACAGCAGTCCTCACCACAAGGCCACAGAGATAGTGGGTGTCCGTCTCTGAGCCTGAAGCAGGTGGCAATAATTCTGGAGTGAGTCGTTTTTATATTCAGTCATGCAGGTGATTGTATCCACTGAAGTGGTTGGTATACAGTTTCCCTTTAAAATAAATACACACAAAAAAATGAGTGGATTTAAAGGTCTTGCTTTAGTAAATAGTAAAAAATATGGCAGCGGAGTGAATGGCATTTCAAAGTTTGATTCAGGTGAACCTGGGGAACTCCCTGTCAAAGTCCTGGGGAAAGCTTGGAACTCTTGCCGGGAGAACTGCTGGTGTAGAAAGAGGGCGAAGTCATGTCTGTCAGATATTGTTCATCTTCAGTGACCAAGAGTTAGAAGCTTATACAGCACAGAGCCTGGCTCCTGGTCCCCATCACTAAGTGTTTGTGCCATCACCTCAGCTATTCGACCAAACTCTCCCATTACCTTCTGGCATTATCTGACACAACATGTCATCACTGTGAAGTCTATAAATTAAGCTAAATCATTTATGTGCCCAAGGCTGTTTCCGTCAGTGTCATTTTAGTAGGTTTTTAAGGAGGAAATGGAAGTAAATACACTTAATCTGTCCTGTAGAGCCAAAGCCTGAAGTTTTTATTTTAATAGTCTATCCTTAAATTTTAAAGTTTGAGATTTTTTTATTGTCATTATTCATCCAGTCCTTCAAGACCTTAATGAAAATTAAATGACATTTTAAAACTTGTAATTCAGACTTCAAGGGTTTAATGGCAGTATACAATGACCCATTGGTTTTTATGTTCTGGATCAAGTAGCCTTCCTGTAAGTATAAAAGTAGATAAACGTCATCTCCAAATCTAATTACCTTGGACTTTGACAAGAAATAAAGCAGTCTCACCACATATGTATAGAAGTGTAAATTGACATTTTCCTTGCAGGCTGGTGGTTTAAAGTGGGGAATCAAATTAGCTAGAAGAAAATCATAAACACCTGGACTCAGGCTAGACTTATATTTTGCTTTTTAGTCATAGTTTATTCTTCTTCCAAATCTAATAGTCTTTTCTTGTAGTTGTATATTGTTTCTACCAACTACACACTCAAGATATCAATTTTGTTAGACTTCATCCTCTAAATTTGTTAATTGTACATGCTACTAAATATTCTGTTTTGTCTCTTAGTTGTAAAGAAGATAATTTTTTTGTATAGCGTTCTGAGAGGGAGATGTATAGACTCAAGATTCAGTAGGTCACATAGCTTTTTGTTTTTGTTTTTTTCCTAACAAAACCAGATTCTACCTCAGATGTCCCTGAATTATTTGTTTAATCTGTATATGTAGTTGGATTACATGGATTCTGATCCCCATGGTAATGAATCAGACATATCAATTGCTTCACATACTGATATAGCATATGGCTGTGATATAGCAGGTTGAAATAAAAGATTGTTAAACTATATTTCAGCCCTCATTGACTCCCTGTTTCATAAAATCTTTCCAAGTGAAAGGGAATCTCGGCGTTTAGAACTGGAAACATCCTTAGAGAGTCTCATCCTTCCCTTCAGTGGGCAGGTGAGAAAGTGGAAGCCCAGAGAAAGCTGCTTGTCAAGATGGGGGCCCTGGCAGCAAGGTTTGACTGGGATGTAAGTCTGCTGGTGCCTGGTCAGCACTGCTTCTCCACCTCTGTGGGGTGATATCAGCACTGGTTACTGAATTGGTTTCATGTCTATTCATTTCTGGGGCATGCAGTTTTATTCCATGGTGGATCTTGATTTAAACACTATGTGGCTTTCTTTTAGGCTGGCCTTCACTCTCCTTTTACTTGTGAAAGCCTCAGAACGCTCTTGGACCACTTCTTCGGAAAACTTTTCTACTGGCAGCAAGTCATTCACTGTGATCCTGTTCAGCATAGCCACATTTGAGTTTTCCAAGTCTAAAGAAGACTGCTTTTGGTTTTCCCATGAAGCTGCATCATTGTCTGTCCATCTTAGTGGCGGTCACTCTCCTGCCAGCTGCTATGGTTTGGGGAGATGTGGGAGCAAATCATAGTTCCCACAATGCATCGTTTCTCCCGAGCTTCGAACTCCCAGGAGGTTCCTACTCTGCTGATGATGTCATCATAGCCAAAGAGGGGACAAACGTTTCCCTGGAGTGTCTTCTCACGATGGATCAGTATGGAGATGTCCACTGGTACAACTCAAAAGGACGGCAGCTACACAGCACAGGTAATCCTCTAAGTTGTGGTGAGCCAGGTGACTCAACCCTGCTTTGGGGGGTTAGGACATGCAGAGCAAGAATTCTTCAAGATAAGATGTCAAGGGGACTGCTTCAAAGGGGGTTAGAGAGGCAGTTCAGTGGTTGAGCACTTTCCGAGATGCACAAAGCTCTGGGTTTGATCCTGGGGTTGGGGAGGGGATAAGGTCTGAAGTATCATACCTATCCATAAGAACAAAATAGGGGGCTGGAGAGATGGCTCAGCAGTTAGGAGCATTGCCTGCTCTTCCAAAGGTCCTAAATTCAATTCCCAGCAACCACGTGGTGGCTCACAACCATCTATAATGAGGTCTGGTGTCCTCTTCTGGCCTGCAGGCATACACACAGACAGAATATTGTATACATAATAAATAATTTTTTTTAAAAAAAAAGAACAAAATAATTATAATCCTTGAACAAAAAAGGATAGATATAAATTTAAAAGGTGGTCGTAAGCTACTTTCCATCCAGCTGAGTTTTCCTTCTACTTCTTTTGTTCCTTTGTCTTGTTTTGGACGAAGTATTATAGTTCAGGTTCACCAGGAGCTCCTTAGCCAAGAATGACTTTGAATTCCAGATCATCCTGCCTCTGACTTCAAAGTGCTAGGATTACTATCATTCCCCATCATGCCCAGCTTCAGCTTTTTTTTTAATTTTAACTTTAATTTGCTTGAAAGCAAAGTTTCTCTTCAAATCTTTATTTCTTTCATAAGAATTGCACAGTGACGGGTTATCAAGGTAGCTCAGTAAGTAAGGCACTTGCCATCAAGTCTGGCAACTTTATACCCACATCATAGAGATAGCAAACTAACTTCCACAAGTTGTCTTCTGATGTCCACACATGTACTGGTATGTGGATCATACGTCCATCATACATACACACACATACACACACACACACATACACACTATACATATATGTATTATATTTT